TTGTCAGATACCAAAAATGGTCCTTTTGGAATATGGTCTCTTTTCTACCTCTCCACCTCAGCCTGCCCCTCTCTCAATGTTTCACACTCCATCCCACCCAGTCACAGTTCAGCAGGTGGGCAGAATGTGTCCACACAACTGGACTTCCTGTGCCATTTGGCTTGAGCGATGTGCTCACACGCACTGGCGTCAATCCCAAAAAGAGGTGGCTCTAGTGCCTTGGCTTTGTCACATCAGGGAACAGACTTCTGATTTCTATCTCAGGCCAAGCCTGGAACAATGTGAATTTTATTTTAGATCGCCCAGCAAATTCCTTTTAGAAGTCTGTCTCTATCACCTTAGCCCAAGTATTGTTTTTATGTTCAACAGCAGCTGCATTGATGGGCTGCCAGCAGGCATGAGTGGGTCAGGGGAAGTATTGTTTAGTTGGGAGTTTTCTGTCAATCCAGACTTTTTAAAAGGGGGTGGGGGAGGGTATCAATTATTTTGTAAAGTAGATCTCCTTGGGAAAAAAGGATAGAAGCTTTAGTTCATTTAAATAATGGTTCAGCTTTGCTGACCCCATTTGAGACAAGTCTAGCTAAGACTATGAAAGATGGATCCCAATAAAATGATAAAATCCAAGAGCGGCATCTATCCCCAACCAAGTTTAGAGTCCTATAAAGAGAAACACAGGCACAGAAAACTCTGTGGCCTGTGCCACAGTCTAAATCCGATGATCATGATCAGTGTGACATCATCATTGGGTAGAGTATAAACACTTGGTCTTTTGGCAATCAATCAAGTAGGCCATCCAAATCAAGGAAAGAGCAGAGTCCCACAATCATTTGTTCCTTTCACAGACATAGGATGGCCCATGCCCAAACACTAAGCATCCACTTCCTTTATTCTAAGATTATTCAAATGGTCACACAGGACTCATTCAGGCACACAGTTTGGTTTCTAGGTAGCAGTTTATACAAGATGGGTTATATTTGCTCAAAAAAGTGATGAAATAGACTAACCACCTAAGAGCTACTATATCAGGATAGTGGGATATGGGCAGTTTTGTTCTTTTAATCAATTCCTTGGGTTTCCTTTTCACTGTAATGTAGACACATCATTTTTAAAGAATATAATTTAAAAGATAAAATTAATCTATAGCTTTCAAAAGATTTTAAAAGGAGAGATTATTGTACCTCAGAAACTTCTTGCATTCCTTAATAACTGCTTGTAGAGCCTCAGTGTGTATAATTTATATCACTGACTAAAAAGTTCTAATTTTTGAAAACCAACCTGAGATGACAGCCCTTTTACTATTTAGGTGGCCCTCCCCTGGACCCTTCTTGGCTCCATTCATGTTTCTCCAGGCACACTGACCACAGCCATCCATCTGGGGCCACATTTTCAAGTCACAAAAATGGCAGTTTTATAACAAGGGAAAATAACATTTTATTGGCAGTACTCCTCCCCTTCCCACACTCCCTGCCCTTGAAGAGGGACCTCGTCTTTAAGAATCGCCTATAATTATCCTCAGACAGATATGAACCTTCACCTGAATCATATTTGCTGAGTCAGCAATAGGCATATAATTCCTTTTCTCCCTAAATGATTTTACACATTTACACTGAAGTCTGTCACTTGAATACACCAACTCTCTCAAACAATAAAGTTCCTGGTAAGAAGAAAATTTCTTGTTCACTGCTATATGCCCAACACCTAGAATAGTACCAGACACATAGCAGGTGCTTAATAAATGGTGTTAAATGAGCAAATAGAAACTTGGTTTTCCATTTCCTTATATGCTCAACAGATAAAAGAGCAGTTAAGTGCATTTCTTGAAGGATATCATAGGGAAATCTCCACCACCAGCAAAGTTTAAACATACTTTTTGTTAGGGATAAAGAAATATTTCTGCACTGGGGAGCAGGCTAACCCAAGTGACCTCTAAAGTTCCTTTCAACTCCTAGAATCTATAAACTGATGAACACCACAGCTTAAGAGAGTCGATCAGCTACATAAAGCCTGATTCTCAAGTAGAGTGAATTGCCATGTCTGTTTAAAATAAAGATAATAGCTGCCCCAGGACTTGGACGCAAAAATGCTAATTCATCCAAAATGCAGACACATCCCTTGGGGGTAAAATGTTCTTGCTAATCATCAGTTATACCAGGCAAACAGCAGATGTGCTTCAGGGTCTTCTTAGGGCTAAGCCCAAAACCCATCAGTGGGGAAATGGAGAAGCTAGGGATCAAAATTAAAACTGAAATAAACAGTATCACACTAAATTGAAGCTTTTGTTTTGCAGTCAATAACAAATCCACCTAAACGTAACTGAATTTAGACTTGAGGTTTGAATGGTTTGTAACAGAATATAACCATTTCATATGATAGAAAATAGTGCATTTGACATGTAAGCATTTTTGTCCACTAAAATGTCATATTTACCTGGGATATCACTCTCAGATGTTCCCATTCAAGAATATTGAAAATTCAGGGTAAGTTATTCAGATTACATTTTGCTTCAGTCTGGCGGGGAGAGGTAGTTATCAGGAAAGGAGATATGCTCCTGTTGTCCTAAATAACTTTTTAAAAAATCTAATTGAAGAAATAACTAGGGAAACTCCATTCACACATAAATCAACTTTGGAGTGGTTCTTTTCCCTCAGCGCAGCCTTCCTTTCTTTTGGTGAAATCACAGACTAGATAAGGAAATGCGAGGGCCAGAGAACTCTTAACTTTAAAGATGCAGTGTAGATTCCATGGAGCTGTGTCTGAAGAATCTTCCCCACTCACTGACTTTGTTTTAAAGCCATAACTGCAGAGACCACACTTAAGACAGTAACCCAACGAACAAAGTGAAAGGCTTCAACAATTCTCTGTGAAATGTGATCATACATTTTCTGTAGACTTTCTAACTTTATAATCAATTCCTAATCACCCATACGTTAGGTTTCCAAAAGAAAAGTCTTCTATCTTTAGGTTATAATTTAATTCCAGTGACAACAGGGAGTGCGCAGAAAGAAGTCACTTCCTCTGTGCACATATACTTTAAAAAATCTCCTCTATTATCTGAAGAGGGAGGTGTAACATAAGAATTCTGTGGGATTAGGCTCACATATGGTTGGCCGACTTGGTGTTGGATATGATTATGGCCACACAACTAAACCTTAAATCCACATACTGTTTCTATTTAACTGACATATATGAACTAATTTATAGAAAATGTGCAGCTAATTATTTCTTCCACCTCCTCCATCCCTCAAGAATGCACCAGCAATAATAGGTGTTACTGAAAAAGACATACACCCCCACTGAATATTTGCATTCCTAAACGCTTACCAATTTCTCTAAAGCAGATATTTTTATTTTAGTTCTCTGAATCTACGCCTTGCTAATAGGTATAATGCGGGCAGGGGGAAGAGTAATTTAACCAGATAAATTTGACCTCTACAGACCTCAATTTTCTCACCAAAAAATAAAACGACTAGCGGAGAGACTATGCAAATTTCCTCAGTAACAATAATCTACGTGTGACCACTAATGATCAAGAGCACAATTTATGTGCAAAAGAAGACCAGAATTCTTAAAAGAGCCATGTCATTAAATCGTAGAGTTGAAAAGGCCTAAAAGACAGTTATGATTCGATATGACCACTGTTGTCTTCTGACTGCAGAAAACGTCTTTGAAAGCACCGCGGGCAGCCGAACCACCAAACCGAATTAGAATCCGCAAAGGGACCCATGAACTTCTCGCGAGGGGGTAGGATGCAAAAGGCGCGCGTATCTGGGGAGGAGTTAGGCGGGGAGAGGGGGAAGAGCCGGGAGCCTGAGAGCACAGCCTTGCATTTCTGGGATTTCCGAGCTTCCAGTATCTCAGTAAGTCTTTCGTCCGTAACTACAAAATCTTCCGAACCACCACCTGCAGCTGCACAGTTGTGGGAAAGGGAAGAAGAGAAAGGGAAGAGGAGGTGATAGACGGGGAAGGACCTCGCCCGAGGCGCCCCCAAAGCCAGTAAGGAGAGAGTGGACTGTGAACATCGACAAGAAAAGGGGAAAGAGAAAACAGGAGGACTCCGCCTTTCCCACCCAGCTCCGCTCCTTCCAATAAAAAGGAAAGGCCGCCGCCCCTTCCTCCGCCTTTCACTTGGGGATGCGGAGCGGCCACTGAACCGCACCCTCGGAGTCCCGCTCCCCTCCGGCCCGGCCCCGGGGCGCGGACCGAGTCTTGCACCCCAGTAGGCGCGGCGCCTTGGCCCACACACTCGGGGCAAAGGTATCTCCTCCTTCCTACTCTCCTCCCTCCCGCCGTGGGGCACTCGATTCTTCACGCACCCGCCCGCCCTTCCTCTTCCTCGCGTCCCAGCCTCCTCGGCCCGCCGCCCCCGGCCTTTCAGCCGCAGAACATTTCAATCCTTCACCCACACCACAAGCGAGCCTCCAGAAAACTTTGTGTTTGTTATCTGGGGCTTTGTCCACATCCTGGGCAGGGCTCGCTCACCCGGGTGGATGCCCGAGGGTGTCAGGGATCTCACAATGCGCTGGCGAGGCCACCACGGAAATCCCACCCCTCTGACCCGCTTCTGCAGCCGTACCACACGCAGCGCTTCAGCTCGCAATTCCCACGCCCTGAGCGCCCCCTCGGCGCGGGGGAGACGGGAGGAAAGCCCCGAACCCGGCGCCCTTCTGGCTGTCACGAGGGAAGAGGTGCGCCGGGAGAGGGAGGCGGCTGAGACACGCCGCGCCTCAAAGAATCATTTTAAAGGGAACAGGAGAGGGGTCCTTTTTCTTTCGCATCCTCAGAAGAGGGGCGCGACGAGGCGATCCACTGTTGCATCACGTAACTAAGCCCCTGGGCTCCTCACCCCGACCCCAGACACGCGCCCAAATTGGTGCACACACCCACAGCCGCCGCCGCGGAGCCGAGCCCCCGCCCGGCTCCCCTGTGGTCCCCACCACACCCGCCCCAGAGCAGAGACCACCCGGCGCCCGAGGAGCAGCAGGCGAGGCCCCAGCACTCACAGACGGTCTCCCCACGGCTACGGCCATCGCAGCTGCGGTACCGGCTCCGGCTGCGCCCGGGTACGCTCCGCCGACTCCGGCAGCTGCTAGTGCTCCAGCTCCGGCTGGCCTCCTTCGCGTCTCCCTCGCGGCTGCGCTCTGCTCGCCGGAGTCCCGCTCGCAGCCAGCGGCATCTGCTCCCCCCACGCCGCCGCCCCTCCCGCTTTATTAGAGCAACATGGCCACCCGCCTGGAAGGGACCATTCGCTTCCCCAGGAAGGGGTGTGAGCCTGCGCGCCGGGCCGCGGTGGTGGGCGGGAGGATGGTGGGCGGGCTCCGAGTCCGGCTCCGCTTGCTCTGGCCGCAGGGTTCGCCCCTCCGCCGCCACGAGATGCCCCCAGCCTGTGCGCTGGCCGCCACTCCCCGCTCCATCAGGTGCCGGAATCCGAGTAAAAGCCTGGGCGCGAGCTCCTAGCCCCAGGGCCCGCCACGCGCCCCACGAAGCCGGCAGCTCCAGTGGCCGCCGGGAGAAGGAAGGGCGGCCGGGGGAAGACAGGTCGCAGAGACAACACCTGGCGGAAAGTTAGCCCCGGACTAGCACGCCCCACCCGGAGAAGCCAGCCTGGAAGGGGCTGCGGGCCACCAGGCGGAGCGGTGGGCAACCGAAGTGCGGCTGGGCGGGACTCCACGTCTCCGCACTGGAAGAATTGCCCCTCCGCAAGTCTTCCCTTCCCACGTGGGGGCCTTCCAGGTCGCACTCGGTCGCCCACCGCTCCCCCTGAGAAGGGAGACTAAAAGACAGGCATCTGGAAGCTGTCACTGTGGCGCGCGGGCGGACAGGGGATTCCACTGGAGAGGAAGAGGCCGTAGTAGTCGCTGCTGCCTGAGGCCGACCCAACCGCCGCCTGCTTGGGAGGAAGAAAAAAAACGCCCCCGCTGAAGAATTAAGGCAGCCATTGGTTGCTCTAGAGCGTAGGGACCGAGGCCTCCCCTGGGTGTCACTGGAGCGGTCACACGTGGGGGATCAGCCGACTTCGATCGCTGGCGACAGACCCAGCGACCCGGAGGCGTGCGCGCTGGGGCTGCGGCTGGAGGGCGCGGCGACGGCACCAGGCGGGTGGCTCGAGTGGGTGCGACTGTAGGCGCGTGGGACTGGGAACTCCTCCGGCGTGGGGAAGATTTTTTTTTCCCAGCAGATGTTGGAGTGTTATTGCCTGTCTAAGGGGCCGGCAGAATGGCCAGGTCCCAGTGCGTGTGGGGCAGCGAGGTGTGTCAGATAAGCTGTGGATCCCCTCGGCCCCTCGTGGGCCGGAGAGGGGGCCCACGACAATAAGGCGATTGAGGACAGCGACGGACAGGGCGGGGAACCAGTTGGGTGGAAGCACAGGCAAAGTGTGGTGAGGAGGGAAGGGCTATGATCGGCCCTCGGGACGACGCCCCCAGGGGACAGCCTGGCCTCCTGAATTAGGGAAAAGACAACCCGCCTCTTTAGACTGGGGCGCCTCAGAGTCTGACCTGAGTCTTCAAACACCCAGATTCCCGGGGGCCTTGCCTCGAGTGGGCCTCAAGACTCGCGACGCCCCCGCAGCCTTGGGCTGAGGGTCAGTAGTCTCCGGGAGCGGGTCTGGCTGCCGCGGAACTGATACTGGTTTGCGCCGGTAGGTAGGCGAGGGGCGCGGTCACCCCGTCTGAATTCCACTGGCAGGACAGCTGTGGAACCGCCAGAGAAAAGTCCGGCGGTGTAAGAAAGGTGAGGGGCGGCGCCGACACAGAGCTTGTTTGTTCAGTCTGTGGGCGGACTCAGACGTGCAGAGCACCAACCTCTTCAATTTCTGCCCTCTAGACTCCAAATCTTTTGAAGTTAGGTACCAGCATTTTATGCCAAACATACAGTGGGCGCTCAATTAGTGTTTAATTAAGATTACACATAAATGGGCCGGGCGCGGTGGCTCACGCCTGTAATCCCAGCACCTTGGGAGGCTAAGGTGGGCCAACATGGTGAAACCTCGTCTCTACAAAAGAAATGCAAAAGTTAGCTGGGCATGGTGGCGCTTGCTTGTAGTCCCAGCTACTATGGAGGCTGAGGTGGGAGAATCGCTTGAACTCCAGAGGCGGCGGTTGCAGTGAGCCGAGATCGCACCAGTGCACTCCAGTCTGGGTGACAGTGAGACCCCGTCTCAAAAAATACATAATAATAAGATTACACACAGATAGGTGCTGTGCAAAGGGAGGGGGAAGACAAATACTTTTTCTTCTGCAGCTGTGGTACGTGGACATTTTGTTCTTTCTCCATAAGGAGGATAAGACAGCAGCAGCACTGCCCATGGACCAGAGGCCTCCTGTAAAGCCTGGGAAAAGAGGGCCCCCCACACCGCCAACCGGATGTAAGGGCAATTGCAAAGGAACTGTGTGTTATCTTCACCAGAACAGACTGTAGAATTTGTTTATTAAATTTTTATTTTGTACTTATTTATTTTGTGAATGTATATGCTGTAAGCTCATCTGCTTAGATTACAAGAATGTCAATGCCCTACCTTGGTGGGTAGGTTAGTTTATTCTAATGAGCACAACTTAACGTTACATATTCCAACATCTCATTTGGGATGTGAGGATGCTATGGGCGGGGGATGGATATTCTGGCATTGCTAGAATATAGGAGCCTTAACGAGAGAGTGGCAGAGTGGGGAGAACCTGGCACTTAAGCTGCAGATGATCACTTATTAGCTTTGTTATATTAAATAAGTTAAACTTTCTTCATCTCATTTTTTTTTCTATTGTAAAATAGGGTAGTAACAGTGAGTCCTGGTAGAGGACATGTTCTGTTAGCCAGATCCACCCTCCAACCTGCTGTCTGTCCTTTGGAGCCTTAACTCAATGGACTTTCTTTCCCTCTACCTTCCTCTTGAGTTAAGGCACTGGGAAGCAAGAGCAATGGAACAAAGAGGAAGGAGCACGGTTATTTATTCCTCCCTGGCTCCCTTGCTATGGCACCATGGCAGGCTGGCTGAATCCCTCAACCAAAGGAAGCAACCAGTATCCCTCCCTAGGGTGACCCAGAGTAAACTCCAATGGTTTCCCTTCATTTTGCACACACCTTTGCAAATAGTCTTTTTATAAAACTCTACTCACATTATCCAGTAGGAATGTAGTATCTCATTCCTTTACGGAATTTTTTGAGAGTTAACTGAGAAAATACTGTATTATTAGTGTTAGAATTACCTATAATTTCCATCCAAACTGAGAAACTTCTGAGACTGGAAAAAGGGGGTTTGTGCTGATAGTAATGATCCCAGGACAATAGGAAAAACAAGGACTTATGGCGACCCCAGCTATTATTGTTGGTAAACTCTGCTTTAGACATGTTAAGCAATCAAGAAGTGGTCATACTATCATGCTTCTGTCACTAGATTATGAATGTCTCAAGGTAAGAGTGCTTTTTTATCTATTAGCTTCTGTCACATGGTCTGATACATTCAATAAATTTTGAGTTGGAGATGAGGGTAAAGGCTAGGAAATGAATGATTTTTATTGCCATACTAGGGTAATGAAGAGTCAAGGAGGTCTTTAAGCAAAGAAAATTTGCATTTTAGAAAACAGCTACAGTGAATATTTGACATTGTTAGAAATGTAGGGTCTATTCCCTTTTTAATTGAACTCCAATTTATTTGGAGAGCTTTTCCAATGAATGTTCCAACTTGGTAAAAAGTAAATGCCTCTTAAAAAAGAGGTTCCAGGCCAGGCGTGATGGTTCATACCTTGTAATCCCAGCACTTTGGGAGGCCAAGGTGGGTGGATCATCTGAGGTCAAGAGTTCGAGACCCGCCTGGCCAACATGGCAAAACCCCATCTCTACTAAAAATACAAAAATCAGTGGGATGTGCTGGCGCATGCCTTTAATCCCAACTACTCAGGAGGCTGAGGCAGGAGAATCACTTGAACCCACAAGGTGGAGGTTGCCGTGAGCGGAAGTCTCACCACTACACTTCAGCCTGGGTGACAGAGCCAGACTCCATCTTAAAAAAAAAAAAAAGTTCCTCGCCAGCTGTGGTGGCATGGTGTAGTCCCAGCTACTCAAGAGGCTGAGGCAGGAAGATCACTTAAAGCCAGGAGTTTAAGGCTGCAGTGCGTTACAATCGAGCCTGTGAATAGCCACTGTACTCCAACCTGGGCAACATAGCAAGACCTCATGTCCAAAAAAATTAATTTAATTTATTTTCAATAAGAAGCTCCTGAAGAGACTTTCCATCACACCCTTCCTTTCATCACCACAGTACATACACTCTAAGAAAGTATGTGATCTAAGTCTGGCCAATTAGATACTGTTACATTTGAATCTTGAATCAAGTGACACAAAGACAATACAAATTGTTACAGTTTATGCAGGCCGTACATTATTTTTTACTTTTTGGCAAATTGTTACAGTTTATAGGGTCTATAATTTATTTTTTTATTTTCTGGCTTAGGTTATCTAAGATTTATTTCTGTGCTTTACAGTCAAAGAACCCTAAGACTAGATCACTCTTGACTACCATAAAAATGATTAATTATAAAGGGATACAAGAAGAACAAGAGGCTGGGCACAGTGGCTCACACCTGTAATCCCAGCACTTTGGAAGGCCATGGTGGGCGGATCACTTGAGGTCAGAAGTTCGAGACCAGCCTGTCCAACATGGTGAAACCACACCTCTACTAAAATACAAAAGTTAGCCGGGCATGGTGGCAGGCACCTGTAATCCCAGTTATTCGGGAGGCTGAAGCATGAGAATCACTTGAACCGGGGAGACAGAGGTTACAGTGAGCCGAGATCGCACCGCTGCACTCCAGCCTGGGCAATAGAGCAAGACTGAGTCTCAAAACAACAACAACAACAAAAAAAAACAAAACCACACACACAAAATGGGTAAGTTAGCTTTTGCCACTTTAATTTTGGACAGTTTAACTGACAACAGATCCTGAACTCCTTCTGCAACATAATACATAAAAGTGTTCAATAAAATGTTGTAAAACACATCTACATTTGAGAGGAAAAAGTAAAACTCTCTATTCACAGATAACACAAACATACAGAAAATCCTAAGAAGTCCACTAAAAAATCATTAAAAGTAATAAATGAACTCAGCAAGTTTACAGGATACAGGATCCACTGAGATTCTGATAAACATGGATAGGCAAAAACTTTGAAACTGTCATTTATAAACTCACATAGGCTCCAGTGATTATCTCTTCTTTTCTTTGTTAAAAAATGCATTTAAAAATAATTCTAGAAAATTACTAGGCAATGTTAAATTTACCAATAATTCTCTGACTCTTCTTTGCCCGCACCACTTTTTATCTCTTTGAAAATCAAGACAAGATTTGCCCCTCTTCAATCTTTTGACATTTCTTATTTTTCTCTGGCTTCTGGAAAGTGAGTAATTACCTTTATGATCACTTACGAAATTTCTTTCATGGATAATTCATTTAGGCCTGGAAACTCATTTAAAGCAATTGATTGCTTGTTTGCCATGCTGGATGTTAGTAGCCTTTAAGTCATGCTTATTCTACCTTTTTTCATTAAAACAGTCTCTTTGAGAGAGGATACAAATAAATTAAAACTTGAGTTTTACCTTTTCTTTGTCATCATCTGATAGCATTATGTCATCAGCACCAAGCAGTAGCTTCCATCCTTTCTTGTTCACCCTCCTGTGGCAAATATTACTTGAAAAACAAAAAATAAATTTTAAAAAATGTCTTGGTATTCTTTTTAAAGGCAAAAATTATCTAAGCCTGCAGGGTCATTTCCATTCTTATAGGCTGTGCTACTCCTTAAAGCACACTCTTTTAAAAATCTGATTGCAATAAGTACGTCCTGTGTAGTGACATGCTCCTTAAAGTAAGATTGGCCTGCTGGCCACTCTGTTTGGCAGCCAGCCCTGGAGCTGGGTCAGTTCCCTCTGGCTTTGGCATTGCTCCTTCTCAGATAATTCCTTTCTCCCTGTGGCCAGTCATTGTGGTGACAGTTATTATTCTTTTTCATGAGCCTAGAAAATTTATGTGGTGGAAGTCTCTCTGAATACCAGATACTGCCACTGAATTAGAAAAGAATCATATGCACTTGTATATTCTGCCAGCCATGTCACTTACACCTCACCTTTTGTCTCATCCTATTTGCTATCTACCATTCTACCATTGTCCATTTCTACCCGCTGAATAACTCTCTGATGCAGGGGTTACTCTGCACCTTCATCTGCCTTACTGTAGACTTGTTCCTTTTGAATGAGGTAAAACTTCCTTGACTTACAATATTTCGGTCATAATTTCCTTGCCACCGCATGTACCGATACCTATTGGATTATGTTCATTTTGTTAATTTTCCCAAGTTGAATTTGCTTTGCCACTAATTCTCTTTCCAGGCTGAGATTTCAAAAGTCATCAGCATTATATTTCACCTTACTTCTGTCTGTGTTTTATTTAGTCCCATCTGAATCGGCAGAAGTGGCTGTAGGTTGGTTGGTATCATGAATTTTGGCAGATTATACTTCATGAATCATCATTCCACACTTTAGGAAGATAATGAACCAGCCATCGCAAGGCTGCCTTCCTACTCATCAGCAGAGAAAGCATGGGCTTGGGAGTCAGGACACTTGCATTCATGTTCCTACACTGCCAAACATCATGAGCTACAAAAAATTTTTAAGTTGATGTATTTGGGTATAGGCTAAGCTGCTATAATGGCAATATTCCAAGAGTCATTGGTTAAAGAAAAATAGATGGGTTTTTGTTTTGTTTTTGAGACAGTCTTGCTCTATCACCCAGGCTGGAGTGCAGTGGCACGATCTCAGCTCACTGTAAACTCTACCTCCTGGATTCAAGTGATTCTCCTGCCCCAGGCTCCCAAATAGCTGGGACTACAGGTGCAAACCACCACACCCAGCTAATTTTTGTGTATTTTTAGTAGAGACGGGATTTCACCATGTTGGCCACACTGGTCTCGAACTCCTGACCTCAGGTGATCCACCTGCCTCGTCCTTCCAAAGTGCTGGGATTACAGACATGAGCCACTGCACCCAGCCTAGATGTTTATTTCTGATTGTTACCTCATCTACTCTGATCAAAACAATCTCACCAGCACCATATCCACATTCTAGGCCATGGAAAGGGTGAAGAAAAGAAAGTAGAACATATTAGTTTCCATTTAAGGAAGTGACATGGAAATAACATAAGTCCCTTGTGTTCACATTCCACTGGCAAAAACTCAGTCCCAGGAATGTACTTAGCTGCAGGGGAGGCTAGGATATGTCCTTCAAAAACTCAAGGGGGGTGTCCTACTTGTAAAGGGAAGAAATGAAAAATGGACACTAGGAGGAAATCAGCAGTCTCAGAGGTAATATACTTACACAGTTTTTTAAAAAACATAAAATGATGCAGAATGAAGTTTCCACTCTATTCACCATCTATCCAGTCCTCATGCCTCCCAACAAGAAGTAAATAGTTTATTATTATCTCATGTATCTTTCCAGAGTTTTTCTAAGCAACTTGTAGCAGATGTAAATATGTATCCTTATTTCCTACCTTACCCCATATTGCACATGAAACAAAAAATATACTATGTATAACATTGTGTACCTTTTTTTTACTTAATATATTTTGTAGTTCCATTTATATAGATACATAGTTATCTTCTTCATTCTTTTCTACAGCTGCCTACTGTTTCTAAGGCTGTATCGTTGATAAAGTCTCATGGATAAACTCAAGGTTCTTCCAATCTTTTATCATGATAAACCATGCTGCAATAATAACATTGTGCTAGTCATTTTGAACATATGAAAGTATATCTGCAAGATCCATTTCCAGAAATGGGATTAGCCGGTCATATGATATTAAGCCAACCTTTTGATCCCTTTGAGCTCCATTTTTTTAACTAATAAATGAAGCTCATATTTATCTCATAGGATCATTATTATAACAAAATAACCATATAAACAATCATTGTACAACAATATCAAAAACAAAATAGAGATAAGTTGATCAAAATATGTGTAAGATCTGTACTCTAAAAACCCATAAAACTCTGTTGAGAGAAATTAAAGAAATAAGTAATGGAGAAATATACCATGATCATGGATTGAAAGACTCAATATTGTTAAGATGTAATCCTCCCCAAATTGATCTACAGATTCAATATAATCCCAATTGAAATCCAAGCAAGCTTTTTTAAAAATAGAAATTAACAATCTGATTGCAAAATATATGTGAAAACACAAAAGACCTATGCTAGCTAGCCAAAACAATTTTGAAAAAGAACAAAGTTGGATAACTTCCACTGTACAATTTCAATACTTAACTAAAAAGCTACAATAATCAAGACATGGAATCGGCAACATACAATCATATAGTCTAATGGAAGAGCATATGGAAAGTCTACATATAGACACATATGGTCAATTGATTGTCGCCACAAGTGCCAAGATAATTTTGTGGGAAAGGATAGTCTTTTCAACTAATCATGGTGGGACTATTGGATAT